CTCTGAATAGGAGGAAGTGTGTCGGTAATAAACTAAAGTGACTTCTAACAGCAAGCTGCTATGAAAAACTTAGTACTTTTGAAGTAAGAATCTGTCATATCCACAGCTGCTGAGAAAAAGAGCTCATTTGCTTCATATAAGCTGGACATTCTTTATTGTGAATCAGTTCAATAACACCTAAAATGATAATGTACAATTAAGGTTAGGGTATCATGGTGTTTAAGTATCTCAGGCCTTGTCATTTCTTTGGGTGAAACTAGTTTCCTTCTGACATTGCAGGATATACAGTTATAAAGCAGAACATTTACTGAGAGCAAACCAAACAAAAATATTATGAAGGATGTATGAGTAGCCAGTTATTGATTGATAAATGGAATGTATGCCATCTTCAATATAACTCTTTGTGCAGTAGTATATATTGCTTAATAGCATACATTCCATGATAGTTGGTCTTTAGGAAGCTACTAACACCTCTGTTTGGATTTAATTTTTTGGTTTTTAATAAATTTTTTATCTTCAGAAATCTCAGAGCAAACAGTGCTGTGAAAGAAACACTCAGTTCCCCCTCCTGTGTCTAGTTGGAACCTGTGAGTTCAAGGTGTGATGAGACCAAACAGCAGGTAGTTTTTAATCAGATTTGTTTTTTTCTAAAGGGATGGTTTGTTGCTTGCACTCCCTTCCCTCATCTTCCTGCCAGCTCTGGCAGACAATTTCACTTATTTTCTGGTTTTGTTTTCTGCTGGCTTAGTGAAGTGAATCTACCCAAGAAAGGATGAGGCAGTTCTGGTGCAAAGGAGGGAATATGACTGCGCAGCCACGATTAGGTGGTAAAAGAGTAGGGGGTAAAACCCATCCCTGTTAGTGGCAGTGAATTGTTAGACTGGCTGCGCTGTCTCTGCTAATCTGACCTTCAGAATCCTTCTGGATTTCTTCACTAAAGTGCAGATTTCATAGTGTACAAATTGTGTGCCTTTACAAATGAGTCCATGATTTGAAAATATTTCCCAGGTAAAGGTACAGTTAGATATTTGACAGCTTCTGCATACTGGTGTGTTCTGTGTGTGGCTGGAAAATAAAACAATCTCTGCTGGAAAAATCTAGCACGGAAGTTTTTACAGAATTGCCTTTTAAAAATGATCAGTGCAGTATCTGTGCATCAGGAAAAGGAGAATGATATTTCTGAGCAGTGTCTATCCATCTGTGTCTGTAAGCATCACAGCTTATTTTTCAGTGCTATGTTCTCATTTAAGTAAGAAACTGGTCTCTCTGTAGCATCACCTTGAGATTACCTTTTCTAGTACTGTTACTAGAAAAGTGAGTGGCAAGAAAGGAATGGGAGTTTTTCACTACAGCCTCTTCCTCTCTCTGGTCTATACGTTTTTCAAGTAGAACTAAATCAATACATTTTTTTCTTTCTTTGAGACAAGGCTTTCCTTGGCATAGATACTTGCCTCTGAATGTTCTGTATTGCTCCCTGCAGCAAAGTCTGTTTGAGTCATGACAGACTCTTTTTCCACCGAGATAAATACCAAGTTCTTTTTTATAAAAACCCCACTAATACTAGAATTGTTGACTTTTTAAATAGCCAGTTCAAGGGACCCGGAGAGTACAAACCTCATCAGAGCAAGTATTTTTTCCACACACGCAGAAACACACGTCAATGTTGACCAGATATACTTCTGTGAAGTTACTAGTCCCTGTGCTGCCTTCTCACTGAAAATATAATCCACTGATCCCTGTGTGAGGGATCAAACCAACGTGGTTTGAGTAGTTAAAGTAAGATCCTACTTAATAATAAAAAAAATCTTAAAGTCATTGAATAGATTGTTAGCAAGATGGTACCATGTAGAGGAAACAGTTTTTTCTGGCTGATAGGCCAGAGAGATGGGAAGACAAGTGCGGGTGTTCTTATAGTCCCTTTGGGAGGTGTGAGGTAGATGATGTTCCCAAGTAGGATGCTTGTGAAAAAAGCGTCTCTAGCTCAGTTTGGCTGCCCTTTAGCTTTGTGTCGAGCTCTGTCCTTTGTGCTCCCCAGGCTAAAAGGATGACTAGTGCAGAAGCTGTTCTGCAGTTATTAGTATGAATATTTAAATACATTTCTTTTGGCCAGGCTAATATTCTTCTTGTATGTGTTTGAGCAACCAAATTTTTCCTTGCGTATACATTGGGGTGCTGGAGCGTGTCCAGAGAAGGGCAACGGAGCTGGTGAAGGGTCTGGAGCACAGGGCTGGTGGGGAGCGGCTGAGGGAGCTGGGGGTGTTCAGCCTGGAGAAGAGGAGGCTGAGGGGAGACCTGATCGCTCTCTACAGCTGCCTGAAAGGAGGGGACGGTGAGGTGGGTGTGGGTCTTTTCTCCCAAGTAGTTAGCAATAGGACGAGAGGAAATGGCCTCAAGCTGCGCCAGGGGAGGTTTAGTTTGGATATTAGGAAAAATTTCTTCACGGAAAGGGTGGTCAAGCATTGGAACAGGCTGCCCGGAGAGGTGGTGGAGTCCCCATCCCTGGAAGCGTTCAAAAAACGGGTAGACGTGGCACTTTGGGACATGGTTTAGTCTAGTCTACCCTTGATTGGCTTAGTGTGGGCTTTGTAGTGTTAGGTTAATGGTTGGACTGGATGATCTTAGAGGTCTTTTCCAACCTAAACGATTCTATGATTTCAAAACTCTTAGAAAAGTTTATTTTTCTTTTCAAAGTGCATGACCAGAGAAAAGCTGGGAGTTGCACTAGCAGGTAGGACACATATCCTGCTGTCTATAAGTCTTGGCCGGTCATTCAGTCATCAAATCTGTGTTTTACTTACCTGTATAATAGAAGAATTATTTGATAATGTAGATTTGTGGATGAAATATGTAGAAATACTGATTTTTACGACAGTATGGGGATGTGTTTTTTTTTCAGAACATGTGTATTCATCACTTGGGTTTGTTGATGCTGTGCTGTGGCCTTGGAAATAAATTGGTTCTTACATGATATTTATTGCCTATGTTAAATTACCATCTCCAGAAATTCTTCTTTGAAGTTGCTTTCAAGAGAGTTTTACTCAGTGCAAGTATTTGGAAACATTTTTCTTTATATGTTCCTGTATTTTGCAGTATGGTTTTTCTGGGGGTTTTTTTTGGAAGTAAAATGCTGGGTTTTCTGTTTGTTTGGGGTTTTGTTGTTGTTGTTTGTTTGTTTTATATATATTTAGTAGACCTAGAGTTGTCATCTCCATCTTTCTTGTGTTGTCTGATATTAACTAAGCATTCTTTCCTTAACTGGTGTTTCTCTCCCATAAATATTTTCATAATTCCCTTGCACCATCCAGCATTTCATTCATTAGCCTGGAGGAAGCATGAACTCTATTTTAATAATTTTTTTAAAAATGAAGTTTCAAAGTGGGTTAGGGCAGGCAGGACACCACTGAGCTTCTCACAGCACCTTTTAGAAGCAGGGAAGTAGCCTTATTCTGTGCTGCAGGTGGAGGGGGGGAAGCAGCGTACAATTACATACATACAATTACAGGCAGCTTGGGATGGTTCGGGAAACTGGAGAAGGATAGTCAGGGCACGGAAAAATCTCTCTGAACCATCCATACTTTCTCAGGCTGCTCAAGTACTAATTGCCCTTATCTGCAGAAACGCATTTTTTTAAAAACAGTAGATTAAATCTTACTACTTCTTTTTCTTGTCTATGCTTTTTTGAAGTGCCATAAATTTATCGTTTACTGTACTTCTAAACCCATAAACGATTTGTTCCATACCATTGATCCGTAAGCAAATACGGTAATTGGAAGATCTTTATTCTGCACTGAATTCCACGTGAAAATTGAGGTGGAAGGCAAAGTGTGAATAATGAAGATAAAATGATAAATATTGATCTCTCGAACAAAATTTCCCTGAAGATGCTTCAGGTACTTTTGGGTTGATAACGTGCACGTTATCAATCAGATAAATAGCTTGGGTGTTTTATTTGCACTGAAGCAAGGCAATTTATTAAATTATAACTTGAAGTAAAATGTAGGATATTGGTGTGGGTGGATACTGTTTCTTGCTTGCAGCCCATACTATTTGATGCTGTTTTCTCTGGTAGATTTGAGAGAAACTAGGTCAGCCTGTAGGTTCTCATACAACCAGGACTTGTACGGGGGACACTCAAGGAGCACTTGAATGGTGTATTAGATACTCCTAAAAAGTCTTTACGTGACGGACCAGCACGGTGTTTCTCTACTGGAACAAATCTATGTTACACATAGCTAATGCTTCTAAAGACCTTGCCTGTAGGTGTTGTAAACCCTGTGTCCCTGACAATTTAGTATCGCTTCATGGCACTTCTTGTAAATACGTCTTTGGTATGTGAGATCTGCTGACAGAGCGTTTCTGCTGGAAAAGGAAGGTGTTTGTAGTCTTGCTCTGTAATGTTCAGCAGCCGCTCGGTTTCTGCTCAAAGTGACTGGATTTCTCCTATGTCGTGTTGGTACTGTAAGTTCACTAATTACCATAAAAACGTTGTAATTTTATAAGGTTGAGGTCTTCTTCAATTGAAAGTAGATTTCTCGGAGATATGGAAACTGAACTATGTTCTGGTCTGTCCAGGCAGATGACTACCAAGTCTGGGAATTTTCAGGCTGACCTTGTTTATAAGGGCTAACATTCTCGTTAAAGTATGTTTAAAGTTCTAGGTGAAGAAGTTTAGCCTATGTTGCTTATAATATATTGATTTAAATATTATAAAGTAAGAGTTTAGAAATATTTTTATTATTTTCTGATCTGTTTTGATTATTCTAGTGAGGTGAACCAAGTTTAATGTGATTCCGGTACCATCTTTCATGGGTGTGTAAAAGGAAGAATAGTTTGGTGTAACAGGATGAGTTCACTAGGAAAGAGTAAATGAAGAAAACCAGTCTGATGCTGAACCGTACTGTCTGTAATTGAAAGCAATGAGTTGTTTAGGAAAATACTGCGAAGAGCAGGACCGAGTGAGTTACTTGGGTAAATTGTTCTTACTGTTCTCTTCTTGTGCAGGCTGCTGTATTGCTGAAGTCCATACCTAGTTCACCCAGTCTTCCAGACGGCGTGCTCCATGCTTTGAGACCAGGAGGACCTTGGTGTTCTGAAATGAAGATGGAGACAGTGGGAAAAGCAGAGGAACTTGTTGATTCGGAAGTTCCACCAAAGACTTCTGAAAAGCAAGAGACTGCTCCTGATGAAGACGGACCTCTAGAACTGGAGACACAAACTCAGAAAGACAGCATGCCCACTGCAGCAGACTCTGCGGTGCTCTCTTCGATGCCTTGCTTACTGATGGAACTGAGGCGAGACTCCTCGGAGTCTCAGCTAGCATCTACAGAGAGCGATAAGCCAACGGGTAGTCGAGTTTACGAGAGTGACTCTTCTAATCATTGCATGCTTTCCCCTTCTTCCAGTGGGCATTTGGCTGACTCAGATACATTGTCTTCCACAGAAGAGAATGAGCCTTGTCAAGCTGAAGCTGCTGCAGAGGGAGACCCTTCTGCTGTGTCTGGGGCTGCAGTTGGGAGGAAATCCAGGCGATCCAGGTCCGAAAGTGAAACTTCAACAATGGCTGCCAAGAAAAACCGACAGTCTAGTGATAAGCAGAATGGTCGCGTTACCAAGGTAAAAGGTCACCGAAGCCAAAAGCACAAAGAAAGAATCCGGCTGTTAAGACAGAAACGGGAGGCAGCTGCTCGCAAGAAGTACAACCTGCTGCAGGACAGCAGTACCAGTGATAGTGACCTGACGTGTGACTCGAGCACGAGTTCATCAGATGATGATGAAGAGGTTTCAGGGAGCAGCAAGACAATCACTGCAGAGATACCAGGTAGAGGATGTTTTTTAAACTGAACTGTAACGCATCTGACATCGTTTCTCAGCTGTCATGCTAAATTAGATGAGTGACACTTGAGAAAAACCAGGAGAACTGCAGCTCTGTGTAAATTTGAAGACTGCAGTATATTAACAAGACATGGGCAAATTTTAAAATCTGTTCTGAGGTTTCAGTGCACTTTTGCACACCAACAAAGCATAGAAATGGTAAATTGGAGGAAGGACTATCTTTGAATTCTGGAATTTTCAGATCTTTTCCTTTGTAAGCCTATATGAACTCCTATCAGTGCTGTCAAATCCCATTAGATGGTGATAATCTAATAAATACATTCTTAAGATAAGTGGCCAGCTTTGCTTTAATATATTAAGACCACAGCTTGGCAGCTGTCTTAGAAATGACATGGCATACCTCTTGCCTGTGTTACAGTAAGGCCCTGTTCATTATTGCACTTACGCTGTGCTTTCAGCTCTACATTTCAGTGCATGACAAACCTACTTAGCCTTATTGTAAATTCTTGCAGATTGCAGCTGGTCACCTATTTTAGGACATAAATATGAATTTGTTTACACAGGTGCCCAAGCTATATCCACACCTAAATTTTCAACATTTTAGACAAAGCTGTTACCATTTTCCTCTGTCATAAGGATCTGTAATTTCTATACTTTCAATTTTCCGACACATCCGTCTTAAGATTGGAGGCAGCAAATTATAGGGGCCTTCTCATGATTTTATTAGCAAAAGAGAGATGAATTCAAGTTTTTTTGTCTGCTGAGTCTTGTTATTTTATTAGCCCAAGTGCCGTGGACAGGATTTTGTGTGAATTATTCTTGCAGCATATTATACCATAGAACCGTCATCATATGGCAATCTTCATATGGCAATCAAAATAAAATCACATCAAAATAAACTTTTGGCTTGCCAATTTTTACTGGGTTGCATGCCTTTTTGCCTCTTGTGCTAGAATTTTTTTTTTTTTGAGATAAATATCAGCTTACATAGGGCAAGAACGTTTAAAGGAAAACTGCAATGATTAGTCTTAAGTTGCTGAACTAATGTTTGCTAGATGAATGATTTAAAATATTTGCAGCAGATCTCACAAATAAGTGTGTTTTAAATGACTTGATTATGGCGAATGATTCTGTCACTATGAGAACTGGCGTTTTTCCCACATATTGCTAGGAAGCAGGTTGCACAAAGGAAGTTAATGTTTATTATTAGAAAGTCTGGGAAAGGCATAGTCCTCCTGTAATTTTTGTGTAGTAAACTTGTAATAGAAATTCTAAAATTATTTTTACCAGTTAGTCAAACTTCTAGCTTTCATAGTTTTGTGCCTTTTTATTTACTATATTTACACTTCGCTGGGCAATTAAAGCCTGATTGAAGCCTGTTGAAGAAGACTATTTCATTGAGTTTTGGGACAGATTTCCTCCCCCATCCCTCCCCCCCCAAAAAAACCCCACCAAACCCAAAAAACCCCAAACCCAAAACACACACAATAAATCCCCCAGGTTATATTCCTTTTTTTTAAGTCATAAAAGTACCTTGTGACCCAGAAAGGCACCAAATGGTATTTTCAGATCTGCCTAGATTTCTGACTTCCATTGCGGAGACCTGAAACCACTCTAGGGTACTTTTTCTGTGTCACTAGGCTCTTTTGTATTTGAGCTTTCAGTCTTAACCGTGAGATGCTTGCAGTGCAAAGGTCCCGTTGCAGTGCACGGAAGAGCTTGATGATTTAGTGATGATTACACCGAGGCCCAGTTTTACCTGCGATGCAAAATGTGGGAGTACAAAAAACCATCCTGAGAAACGGTGACCTCTGTTTTTATTTCATAGCCTGTATCATCTGCTTGATACTAAATTACATTTAAGACATTAAAACTTTTGAGCTGGCCTTTTGGAATTAGGGGCAATGCATACCTGCCACATTGCGGTTTTCCTTTAAATGGAAACGACGTTGGTTTGTGGGAAACAGTTTCCAAGTACAAGAGAAAAATATTCTCTATAGAGATAAGGACAAGGTTGGCCAAAAATGCATCCTGTGCTGCTTGTGGGTTAATGAAACGTTGTGGTCTTAACAGATGCAGCGGAGCTGTGAGTCTGAGTAGGACTCCCAGCTCTCCGTCGCAGTGGTAGGTTCACATGCCATCTGCGATCCCTCTTCTTGGAACTGGCAAAGCGCTTAACTTGAATTATTTTTTTGACTAGAAAGCCATTTTAGTGCACTTAGCATTACACTGTGAATATCCTCAAAATTTAGGGAATGAACACATAGTTAGAAAATAACACAGGGTATCAAAAAGCATTAGGAAATTCAGGCCAGGGGTGTCCTCTGCACACAGTCAAAAGCTAAGACTTGAACTAAAAGCTTGATACTTGAACTTGAGTGTCAAGAAACTACAATGCACCTGGCAGAAGGACATAAGCATGGAAAAACTTTTGCCTTCTACTTTTGAAAAAAAATCTGTACGCATTGATGCAGAAGAGTTTTACAGGTAGCCTGCGTTCCCCTTAGTCTTACTGTATTTGGACACTTGGCTGTAGTGTTGGTTACTGTCTCAACAGAGCTTCTTAATGGGACTGATTTTCAAATGTCTATTGTCTGCAAAATAGCTTTGCCAACAGAGATGCTCTAAAATTTTTAGCGACGGTTAATTTAATGTGGCCTTCGTGTACAAAGGTTGTACATACTCTGGCTCTTAACCTTCTATTGACACATGTAGCGTTACAGAAGATGGTTCACTTGTGAGTGGTTTGAAAATTAAATGCCACATTTGAGAACACAGTAGTAGTCTATCCTGTCGTGTTATTAATCCTCTTCCATTTTAATAGTGCAGTTTTTTTTTTTTCAAACCATCCACATGACTGGCTCTGAAATATGTTTGGCTAAATTAGTAAGGTAAGGAAAATGGTCAGTGACATACATAATAATGCCATGAACATCTGTAGTGTTATTAGCTTCATCCTGTGTGTGCACCCAAGTTGTGAACTGAGCAGTTGTGCAAACAGAGAGGCACTTCTCTCTGCTGAACTCAAATGCAAATGTGGATTAAAATATTGGCAGTCTTGTTTTACTTCTCAATGAAGATTGAAGAGTAAAGAGTTGAGATCTTCTGGTGATACTTCAGTACAAATATTGTAAGCTCATTAGAGTTAAGCACAATATGATATGTTATTCTGAATATATTATGTGGTGTTAATTTATACCAGAAAATACAGGTTCTATCTAGTCTTCATGGATGCTACTGAGAATCTTGTCACTGAATCTTGTCACTGACCTGAGCAGTCATAAGCTTGGGCTCTTTAATTCAGGGAATGCCATGATTTTTTAATTACTGCAGATGAAGAGCAATTTCTTATCTTTTAATGATTGAGCCTCTCTGTTGGCATTTAGGATTTTACATTCTTTAACAAGTACTAGATAGCATTCCCTTTGAGCACAAGACGATGATCTTTTGAGTCTTGAAATAGGTTCTGCTAGACCTTCTGCTGTTGAAAGTTTTTCCTTTAAACAGTTCAAATGTGACCATGCAAATTAAATAAATTGGCATGAGAGCAAGTCTGGGAATCAATATTTATTTATGTGTAAACACTTTTCTTTGAAAGAAGGAAGGGGGGTTTTAAAAATTCAAATATACGAAAAAATTGGCATTTCACCACCATTATGCTTTCTACAACTCAGAAAAATCTGAATTGAAGTAAGGGTGACTCATGTTTTAGGCTTTCAGAAAAATCTGTTGGAAAGTTTGAGTATTGATGTTAAAAAAGGTGTTGCAGCTCACGTTTTAAAAAAGAAGAAAAGGGGTTTTAATATGTAGAAATCCAAAGAGAGGAGAACAATGTGTGTGAAGGACTCTCAGCCAGGTTACTTCCTTCTAAGAATTGTGCATAGGTCTTGGATGAAGCATCTTGCAAGGGATGAATTTGGTTGAAGCAACTCAGAATGACAATTGTATAAGAACCAGGTGGGGTGGGGGGGAATCTGTTCAGAGTGATTTGCAGTAAAATACTCATTTGGAAATGTCAGGTGGCATAACGACACAGAGGAATCCACCCCTGCTAACTAGAATGAAGATGTGGCATATCTTCCTGAATGTTAACATTGTCAGACTTCCTAAATTAAAAAACTTTGGATTTGGTTATTATTTAGATAGTGCTTAATAGATCCCATAGAGACAGCATTGAGGTGTTTCTTAGGTGCTGTTTTCCAAGAGGTATTGTCTTGAAAATGAGATCCGAGTCTTTGATTCTCACCCCTTTGTGATTGCAAATGTCTTCGCCTTTTAACTCGGCTTAACTTCAAGGACTATAAAGCTGTAAGGTTACAGATAGCAAAGGGAGCAATTAGATAAATGCTAGCATTTTTTATATAAAAGGGCATTTTTAGCCTTGATTTTCTTTTTAACCCTGAAGGCCACCAGTAAAGAAAAGACTGAATAAGGCTTGTTACAAGAACTGCAAGGGAAGTGTTTGAAACATTGATCTGCTGCTGCTGTAAACTGTAGATATACTATGACTGATGCCTTTTAAAAATAGTATTGCAGGGTAATACATATTTCAATACATAGTCTCTTCAGTTTACAAAACAGTTTTGTCAACTTTGACCATGCTAGTTCATTCTTAACTTTAAAAGTCTAGCTAGATTATGTCTCACATATCACCATCAATAGTTTTTATTTAAATTGCATTTAAAACTTACTCGACATTACTTAAAGGTGTCTGATCGTAAGCCTGTGGAAGTCAGGAAGACTGCCATTTGGTTACTTGATCTCGGGATAAGATCCCTGACTAAAGACGAATAAACAGAGTCATATTGGATGTTCAATATTAGGAGTATATGAACAGAAGAAATATTTTTTTTAGGGAGAAAAAAGACATTGAATATACAAAAGGAACCATGTTTTAGGAAAAAGGTACCATTTTACTTACTTGTAGTTAAAATACAGTTGGAGGGATGTAAGTTAGGTGCTATAAAGTAATTTATTTTTGAGCAGATGACCTGAATGCTGAATTTCCAGCCTGTCTGATAGGTGAACAGATGGGAGAAAAGACTTAAAAAGTAGTGTTTTTAATAGAAGGGTTTTGGCCCCTGATGGGTAGCATTGCTACTGCTCGGAGATAAGAGAATAATCCTGGGCTTTGTTTAGCTGTTACTGAAGGACTTATCTATACCTCATTTAAATAGCTCCTAAAAAGAATGTATTGTTTAAGTAATACTGTAATTTCATGTACACAGTGAAATCCCAATAAAGAGGTAGTGCCTTATGTTTTTATTAGTAAATATTTGCTTAGGCTGTGCAATGATTTCTCTCATTCTTAGGATATTTTCTATTATTCTTAAGCCAGAGGATCCCACAAGTTTCACGTTGATGTATCGAATTGTCAGGTTCTGTAGCTGCTTTGTGTAGTTCAACGTGGTGCTTGTCTTGTTTTGCAGTTACCTTAGCTAACATTTGTGTGTTCAGACAGCATGCACATCTTGTCTGTTATTCCTCAAACAGGTACGGAGTCTCATTTTCTTGGGGTTTTATTGCTTTCTAGAGGATTCCTGAGTAAACTCTAAACTTAAAAATGTAGATACCACTGCCTTTTCTTAGTGATATGTAGAGTAAGATAATGAGGATGGCCTTCTCTTCTTGCTGCTGAAGTTCTTCCTGATAATCCCAAAGCCAGTCATTTTAACCATCTTTTTGATGGACAGAAGGAACAATTTCCTTCCAACTATGCCATGTCCGTTTTCTGCCTTGGCTAGAAGTAAGGCCAGAAATGCCGCACAGCCGGCGGCTCATGCGATGAAGGGCATGCTTGTAGTTGGCGTGAGGTTGATCGCTCCTGCGTGTCGTGTGGATTACCCCTGTGATGTAGCTGTGTCCATCAGACCTAACGGAGGGTGCTTTCACCTCATGTATTAGCGTAGCATTGACATATCTTTTCATGGTTTTGTGTATGTGTTTGTGTCGTGTATTCTCTTCACCGGTGTTTAGTGTGTTTTCCAAAATCAGAGCAAGAGCTTTGGGCTTGGCTACTTTAGATGCTGCAATCACTAGATCAGCCTTTCTCTCTGTTATCTTGTGTACAATTTTGTGTATGTTTTACAGTCCATTATAAAAAGGTTCAAATATGTAAGTAAAATACACATAATTATTCAGGTTTATCAGTTAAACAGTGGTATCTTGCATCGCAGCTTAATAGAACTAAACATGTTATGGTACAATGTTTTTGACACCTTCAGTTGACTTCAAAACTTGCAAGGGAATTGGACTGATTTGGTTTGTTTAAAAAAAAAAAAAAAGACCTTTGTGAGAGAATTGTCTGAGAATTCTAGAATAAAAATGATTCTGAAGCCAAAATTTCTATTATAACCTCAGTGAGTGTAAATTTTTTTTTGTTTGACGGTAATACTGTTGATTAATATTTGCTAATTCCTCCCCCATTGTCATATCCAAGGGACACAATTAGAAAAGTTTGTTTTCCTGAGTTAACATGCCTTAATAAACAATATTATGTTCTTACTTAATGATGTCTTATCAAATGGCCTCAATGTCTTTAAAGCTGGCTTCAGTCGTGCTGGGGGATCTGGAGGAGCGACCAGGGAAATTCCAGGATTGCTTGACAGGGGCACCGTGTGGGATAGGAACTGCATAGGCAATGTCCTGGAAGAGGCCATGAACTGCTTTGCCGAGATGCAGAGGCAGACAGAGGAGAAATTTCGCATGTGGATAGAAAAGCTAACCCGTCTTGACACAGATGAAGAAAGCAAGCAACAACTGGAGCCCAGGGAACCTAAAATTCAACTAGTTGGCCAAAGAATCCCCCCTACCACACAGTCAGGGGCTTTCATACAGATGCCTGATAGCCAAGTACTTCCACAACAGTCGTTTAATTCTTACGTGGGCTATCAAAATGTCGATGCTACGCTAGAGTTTCCAGCGACTTTTAATAATAATTTTCCACCTGTCTTTCCAGAGAATGGGAATATTGCAGAGCCTGATCTGAATCAATCATAAACTTAAAAAAAAAAATCCGATCTTTGCAATCTTGATGTTACTTTGGATTATGCTAAAAACAAGGTTTGCTTTTCTCTTCGTATATGTTTGTTTTGTTTTTCTCTTTTGGGTTTTATTACCATGGGTTGTTTTTTGTTTTTTTAATTTATAGAGAATATATATGTAGTTTTAAAAAAACCCCACAGTATACTCATGTGCATGTGCCAGCACACACATACAAATACCTTTAAAGGTGTGTGGGGGAACCACCCTAAGCTTTCGTCACCAAACTTGGGAAAATATAACTTAGAATCCTTGTTTAAATACCCCAAAATCAGTAGAGCTATGTTTGTTACAATAGGAGCATTCAGAATATTCATCCAAATGCTCTTTTTGCATGTTAAAACATTTATATAAGGAAATAAGTTTTATATTTAAAGATGTAAATTACCCTAGAGAACCAGGCTAGATAACGACCTGTAACATTTCCTTAACTATCTGTTTACTCCCAAGTTTTACAGCTTGAACGTGGTACACATTAGGTTTTTTTCTTCTTCCTTTTTAGGCAGAAGTAATAAATAAGTTTACCCTAAAGATTTAGCTATATATAACAAATGTGCACAATGAAATTTTTTTTTGTCTCCCATTTAGTAGTTCATTTTCTGTCCAGAGTTTTTATTAATGTCACTGCTGTGTTGCACATGGCATATTTATGGAAGCAGCTTTCTTAAATTGCGTGCACAAATACACACGTGTATACATATATATGTGTTTGGTTTGGGTGGAAGTCATCTCCTCTAATTTTAGGCGTCTAGTTTGCTGTTCTGTGGATCCCCTGAGTCAACGGGACGAGATAAGCACCTACAGAGGATACCTCCTGGCAGTGTCTTTCTCTTCTGTTAGTTGGCTAAACCTCCCTTATGAACGGTTTAGAATAGATAACTTTTGGCTAAAGTTAGGTGAGATGAATCACACCCAACTGCGTGTGCATGCATGACCTGTGCGCACAAAGCACGGCTGCTTCCTTCTGTATATAACGATTAAACTGCAGCCTTCGTGCTGGAATAAAAAATAGTTGTGTCAGTCCTAAGATAAGCAGCCGGCGCTGGATGGATTGAGTCTTGGCACAGGAATTTAAAGGCAGGCTTGACGGGCAGATTAGCAAACACTGTGGTGGTCTGAAGGTACGCGTTGCTGGTCTGGGTGAGACAGCAAGAGCTTCTGAACCACGTCTGAATGCCACTGAAATCATTATTTACTGGTGATGGGGAATGCCAGAACATTACTTTCATTTAAATAATACACTAACTTGCTATTGTGTGGATTTTTTTTATACCGATAGTTATCCTGAATAGGCAGGCTTGAAACTGTGATGTTTAAAGTAGGATTAATTTAAACTATATATTAGAAATCTCTATTTAATTCTTAGTATTATCACTACACACAGGGATTTTTTGGTCACCTCTCCATTAAGGCCTTTCTTCATGTAAAGTAACTTCTCCATAGCTACCAAAAAATGTATATTTATCATCAGTTAGAACTTAATAAAAGTTTCTAATTCAAATTAAAGTTCTAATAATGGAAGTTGAAAGTCTTTGCATAGATATAGTTTAAGTAAAGAGAACACTATAGGTCTCCTTGAGCTCTGTTATTTTGCTTTTTAAACCACAGTCACTTTTTTTTCCCCCTAATTATTTTAGTGTAATTCATTTTCTTCCTGTTGGAAATAACCACTGTATCTTCTGTAGGTCTGATTTCTTTTCCTCCCTGAAGTCAGTGGGAGTTTTTCCATGAATTTATATGGGGGTTTGGATCAAACCTGTAACAGGAACTTAAGAAATGCTTTTTGTTATCAGTATAATACTAACACTGGTGTGTTAACATTATTCTTGGCCCAGAGTTACTTTTTTTTAAGTATGTGATGCCTTCATTAAAAAAAAATGAGGTTAGAAAGCTGTGTTATTTTCAGAGTAACTGTTTGAGAGACTATGCAGGAGATAATTTTTACGTACTGGAATAAATTCTTTACAGATCACCTTCATGCATAATTTTGATACAAAGATTTTGATATGAACTTGTAAAAAAAAAACCTCCCACATCTGAAATTGTGTGCATTTTTAACTTAACTATAGGTAAAAGTAAAATGAGTTATTTTATGTTTGATTGCAATTTAGTAAACTTGTCCTCATCTGTTTAAGATCCTTCAGGGAAGATTATTTGCTGATACATAAAAAAAAAAATTGGATCCTTCTGGTGTTCATAGATTTTTTTTTAATATATATATAAATATATATACCTTTGTGATGAT